TTTGGGCCCGATCGGTTCAGCCGTTTTGACGTTTATTGGATTCAAACAAACAGACAATCAAACAGACAGACAAGTTAAATTTATATATAGATAGATAAAGTTTTGTTTGTCTGTCTGTCCGTATGTTTTTGGATCTCCGATTTTAACTCTGGAACCCTTGGACCGATTTGCCTCAAAATTGGGAACTCAGTAGAACCACGAAAATGTTCTTAGTCTGGTTTAAAAATTTTAATTTACTGGATTGACTTTTATAGTAAAACTTTCACCAAAACTGGGTTTCCATGCTAGTTCATATATATTTATTTAAATATATAATTTTTAAGCATTTACAGAGTTACGTTTAACAATAATTTTAACTTTTTGGGATTAAAAAAAATTTGTCTTATTTCTAATTTTAACAAGTCGCAAAAAAAGCAACAAAAAAATATTTTTACTTCCGGAAAATGATTTTCTAAAAATATGAGTTTGCAGAGAGTGCAGTGGCAGTGTGGGCTGAACAGTGAACATTGTAACTAAATAACCCTGAATTGTACATTTTGTCAAAATTATCTATAATTTGATGATGTTTTCATATTTTACCATGATTTTCGCCATTTTCGGGACAAATGAATTGCAACAACATGACTTGCTACAGAGGGGGGGGGGGAAGGGGGGTAATCTGTAAAGTTTATAGTTACATGTCAGTGGTGTAAGGGGACATGGGTGTGTTTATGTGCCAGGGACTGTACCTGGTGAGTAATCTTGTGTGATAATATTAATTTTGTGAGTGTTGTGTATGAGTGTATGAAAATGAATTATTTGTGTATGTGTGTATGAAAATGAATTAGTTGTGTATACGAGTGAATGAAAATGAATAATTTGTGTATGTGTGTATGAAAATCAATTAGTTGTGTATGAGTGTGTGAAAATGAATTATTTGTGTATATGTGTATGAAAATGAATTACTTGTGTATATATGTGTAAATGAATTACTTATGAAAATAAATTATGAGTGTATGAAAATAAATTATGTGTGTATGAGTGTATGAAAATAAATTATGAGTATATGAAAATAAATTATGAGTATATGAAAATGAATTATGAGTGTATAAGTATATGAAAATTAAAATTAGTTCTTCAGCAGTCCAAAAACATCATCCCCTCCTTCTATTCAATATGTCCTTGAGTATATGAATATAAGAAAATTAATTATAAGTGTATGAAAATTAGTTATGAGTGTATGAAAATTAATTATGAGTGTATAAAAATGAATTATGATTTTATAAAAATGATTATGTGTGTATGAGTATATGAAAATAAATTAGTTGTGTATGAGTGAATAAAAATGAATTATGAGTGTATGAAAATGAATTACGTGTGTATAAGTGTATGACAATGAATTATGTGTGTATGAGTGTATGAAAATGAATTGTGTGTATGAGTGAATGGAACATGAATTATGTGTGTATGAGTGAATAAAAATGAATTATGAGTGTATGAAAATGAATTATTTGTGTTTGTTCTGCATGTTTGAACTGGTAACCCCAATTCACCCCAACAATTTAATCTTCATATATACTTTAACCAGATATATGGGAATATTTAAGCTTTATATATACTTTAACCAGATATATGGGAATGTATAATCTTCATATATGCTTTAACCAGATATATGGGAATATTTAATCTTCATATATACTTTAACCAGATATATGGGAATATTTATTCTTCATATATGCTTTAACCAGATATATGGGAATATTTAATCTTCATATATACTTTAACCAGATATATGGGAATATTTAATCTTCATATATACTTTAACAAGATATATGGGAATATTTTATCAAAAGATATATTTATACTATCTTAGGAACCCAGCTTTGCCTGCTAACTAAGTGTTACTACTTTATATATATATACTTCTCACGCATAGTTAAATAGTTTGATCAACTTTTGATACATACTTTTTTTGTACGAAGCAGGTTATCATTTAGTTTATAATATCAAGTATTTTGTTTAAAACATTTAACGTTTGTTTTATTGTATATGTACTCGTTTAATTAATCTTTAAGTAGGGGTTCACGTCGAACTAAAGTAAAATTATCGTAAAATTTAAATACTTTATATTTTTATCATAACTTCTCTTTCCAAAGAGCTATTGAGAAGAACAAAGATGTTTTGAATTCATAATATATAACCAAACAAATTGCTTTTCTTACACTTGAGCGTAAAATCAGAACTAGAGGAGTGACTGAGTCACAAAGCCGTGATAGTTACATCAATTAAATTTGACCTTCTCCTTCTGGTTAGTTTGCAGTGGGTTACTCCATATCTAAAATATAAGATATTATAACGCCCCCTCACCCCCTACAAAAGATTTAAAATCTCCCTCCCCCCTTCTACGATTAATCTTGTCCACCCTATGACCGCTTGTAAAGGTCTAATTGAAATGATTATTATAATGATGACCTCTTATATAATGGTTATTAGATCAGGTACGGGTAATTAATTTATCCTAACGACCCTCCATCCAAGATTCAATTTATTAATTTATAAATTGAGTAGATCTGCAGCAAAAACATCCAAGCAAATTCAGATTAATATCCTATGAATTTTTAATATTTATTTATCCTTGACTCAGGGGGAGTGAAGTTTTTAGACATTTTTATTGCAAAGTTAACTTGCATTATGTGCTATTATTTTCAATTTTCAAATGGCAATTGTAGAATTGTTCAATAGATCTTATTTTTATTTCTTATTATTTATCTTTGTATATTTCTATACTTGATAGTATGTCATCATGACTTTAACAAAAGTATATAATATCTTAAAAATTATTTTCATCCCTTAAAAATAAATATTTTTTTCTACTAATACCCCCAATTCTCCATTCAGGTTTGAAAATCATTCTTAAAATATAAACCCCTGTGTCGACTGATGTCACGTTCAATATTTGCTCTTTCATTTATATCCATGTCTTATTTCTATTTGCTTGTTTTGTCGACAGCAGTTGCGTGAAAGAAAGGATTTTTTACAACATTTGGGAACGCCCCTTTCTTTTGACAGGCGGGCATTAATCTCTGTTATTCTCTGTGTCTATCTAAGTCCCACACCCCCTTTGTCACTTTTATTTGCATCTGTGGATAGGTCATGTGACAAATTGGAGGGATAAAAGACAAAGGGAAAATATCCATTTTTTTTTCAGGAATTGAGTCTTTGCCACAAACTCAAATTTTCTTATGGTTATATTCTTTGCAATATAATGGTGCAAACCTATGGTGTTTCAAACTTAGACTATTTGATCTGACAGAATTAATAGTTAGAAATTTTAAATGGCTAAGACATTAGGGTTGCAAAGATATGAGGATTTAAAAATTTGAATTTGTGACAAAAACTCAAATCTTTTGCAACAAAGAATGTATAGAATAAACCGTAACAGGAGGAAAGAATCTTTTTAAAAATGATGGAGGGCAAGGGGGTTGTGGTGTTAGCTCTAATTATAGAATAAAGGGAAGTTTGAGGGGGGGGGTTTAAGGTCTTTAAATGTGAATGGGGATGAAAATGTGTAAATAATAAGAAAGAGAAGGACTCTGGTCTGTGTATAGTAAAGTTTATATATTCCTATGAAACCCTAGAATAGTCTCCCTAGAGACAACCAACCTGTAAACTTATAACCAGGTTTAGTCAACACTTGGAGGAGAGGGGGGGGGGGGGGCAGAATTTTACAGCACCCCTCCCCCCCCTCCTCCTTCCATAGTAAATCAGTTTCTTGCTAAAAAAAAGGCTTTAAGCTTAAATGTCAAAAGCAGTATCTATGTTTACAAAAGTGTCCAAAAAACGTTCAGTTTCATGAAATGTGTGTTTATCCTTCTCTCTTCGTTTATCATTGGTTGCAAGAGCATCAGTTTTGTGCTGTTAAAGGAGAATAAAGTTATTACAGAATAATTTGTTTCTTTCAGAGTTTTTACTTATGGCCAAATTACAAATTGCAGCTGGATAAAATGCATAAAATGCAGAAAATTCCTCAACTAAGCCGGGTTTAGATCCATCATAATTACCCCAGAACTCAAGCACTTTACAATTCTTTTTTTTCCAGTGTAGAACAAACATAAACAAGAAAATAATATAATAAATATAATTATTTAACATGTTGCAACAAATAAATTTATAGTTCTTTATAAATTGTTTACAACTTTTAACGCTTAAAAACTTCTGCAAACCCTTTATCTCAAGGAATAATAATTTTCATAAAACATTAAAAGTCAATATTTGCAAATTATCTATTTTCCATCTCATAATCTGAGTTCGTTTCCCTTATATCCATTTGACAGACCAAATTTTTATTTGAATAATCTTTTTTGTTTGTTTATCTTCTTGTGAATTTTTACAATTTTTACAATTTTTTTTTATCGATTTTGATGGTTATTATATCGTTAGAACTGACGGGGGTCAACCCAGACCGAAATATATTTTCAATAAATGTGGAACTAACATCTACTTTTTTACTCTACAGAGATTTGGTTCATTACCATCACAGAATTTTATACTAAAAGTTTAACTCGTGAAAATAATATGTTCTTCATAGTTTATTTTAAAGGGTTTAAAAGGGTCTGTAAACGTAATTTATAATGTACCTTCAATCAAATAGTGGCACTCCTGATTCACAACGGTACCTTTAAGACTGGAAAACACAGAGGTAAATGTTCCTGATTAAACTGTTAAAATAAACGTATACAATACACAATTATGTAATGAACACTTTTATATAAGCAAAAATAAGAACAGTTCAGGAAGCCCCTTCCCCCTGTAGATTCAAAAACTGTCCGCCGGACCCACTTTCCAAATTTAGCCAATTATTAACAACAAACTATAAACCTGTCGCATCTCTCATCTCAAAAGTTTCCCGTAATTTCCCGTGCGCGACTTCCGCAGTGTTCTACGCGGATTTCCCGTGAACCGGTTTAAGATCAGCTGATCCGGCCGGGCCGGCCCAAACCGCTCATTCTTTCCAGCTCTACTCGACACTCCAGTTTGCTTCAGACCTCTGGATTGAGAGAGTCTCGTCAAGTTTGAACCAGAATCCGAATAAATATCAGTAGTTTAAACAAGTACTTTTATGCGTCCAAATCAAAGTTAATAACGACGCTAAGTTTCATCAAATGTGAAAAGTGAACATACGCCTTTTAAAATGGACTGATTCCAGTGTCTAATTAAATTAATCGAAGAAATGCAAGTCTAAGTTAGTTTTATGGCTGAATCAAAGTTTGGATGAACAAAATAGGAATGGCTGAAGAGGATACAGATTGGAGCTACAGCTATAGCCCTGTACCAACTTTAAGTAAGTTTATGCTACTATCAAGCAATTAAAACTACCACACAAATATTGTGGTTTTGAAGAAAAAAGTTTTTGAGAGATTTATTTTTAAAGTTTCAAAATAAGTTATTATTTACTTATTACTTTAGAAATAGGTTAAGTTTTGATGTACAATATTTTAAATTGGAATTCTTTACATTAATATTTGAAATAAATTCAAATAAAAATAATATTTTATTCACAAATAACAGCATAATTGTTTTAATGTATTTGATTTGAATTGAAAATGGCAAATTATGAATAATTTGATAACTCTTTTCATTCCCTAACTTTCTAAACCTTATATCTTTGCAATCTGACGTTGTCTTAATCCTTGATAAATCAATATATTGTAGAATCAAAGTGTCAAAGTTAAAAATATCAAAGGTTTCCACCATCTGGTTGCAAAGATTTAAGGATTAGAACATTTGATTCTAAGGCGATTTTGATCAGTAAATTTAACCGGCCTGGTAATTTTTTTTTTTTTTGGGGGGGAAGGGGGTCAATAAAATCACCGTTGCAAATTATTATTTGCGAACTTGAGTTTTTATTAATGTTATAAATATTTTAACTGTAATATGAACTGTAATATGCTAAGTCATAGGAAATTAAGCTATGGTTTATTTTCAAAATGAATCATTTAATAAGTTGATATAAAATTTTAAATGCAAAAATAGCAAGGTAGAGGAAGGGAGGGGGGGGGGGGGGTTAAGTTTGTATCTTTAACAATCAAATATGCAACGACTTTAAAACTTTTGGAAAACTTGGAATCGAAAACTTCAAATTCAGAAATTATAAAAAAAAGAACAAAAATTTAAATCTTTCAAATCTAAAGAATTCCATATTTTTATTCGATTATTAATATTACGTAAGTGTTTGTTTAAAGAGTGACATGAATGATTCACATTGGAACGGTCTGAGAATGAAAAATAGTTTGGAAATGAAATTCGGAAAAAGACCAAACAAACTGTGTTTCGGAATAATGTAGAACATTAAAAATAAAACTTCATTTTGTTTTGTTTCTGTTATTGAAGACTATTTTAGAACAGTTTGACACTGGAGGGATTCAGATGTCCTTCCTGGGGGTTTATAATTCCACTGGAGGGATTCAGATGTCCTTCCTGGGGGGTTATAATTCCACTGGAGGGATTCCCCCCCCCAATGCACATGACATCCCCCCTGAATGCTCATTTTAGGCTAGTATCTGCACCCTTGAACGCTAAAACATGTATTTAAACTTTTAGGAAGACATTAATAATCTAAAAGTTGAACTATCTAATCGTTGAATTGAATTTACTCAATAATTTATGAGTTTATTTCATGATATTATTGATTTATTATAGTATGCTAAGCAATTTTTATAATTAAATGATTAATGCATATTATAACATCTAAAAGTGTATAATTCCTTAATCATTAAGATATATTCTTTTAATGGTTTTATTTTTGTTTTCAGGGTTTTCTCATCTTTTCCTTCTGATTTTATATTAAAATATATATTTTTTTAAACTGTCACACATTTATCCACGGATCCATTAGCAGCAGAGATGAGAGCCAATAAATGTCTTATTTTGTTATTAAATTATAATTTATTTTATTTTATTAGTTAATATTTGTGAAGGGTTGAGTGGAAGGGGGGGGGGTTGTGAGAACTATGTTTAAGTGACATTAAAGAAATAAAAATAAAAATATCAAAGTGTGTGAGAAAAAGAGTGTGACCAAAAACTGAAAAATAAAAAATCTATAATGTACACTGCTGGAAAAGAAATGAAGGCATAACAAAGTTGAAATAAAAGACCTCTTAATTTTTTAAGATAAACATTGTGAACGGCTGATCGAGCATATGGATTGTTTTTGAATTCCTAATAACCAGTTCGTGCCTCATTCCATTCTTTATCAGGATATAAAATATTCATAGCTACAGAACTTTCGGCTTTTTAGTCTAATCAACTTTAATTGATTAAATCAGGCATACGGGTTAACAAACATACTGGTAAAAACAAACAAACAAATTCCCAAAAAACGCACACAAAAAGTACACATACACATTAACAAACAAGTAAACAAAAAAAGAAAAACAAACAATAATATTAAAACAATTGGTATAAGGAAATATTTGTAGCAAAAAGTTTAAAACAAACATTAAAAAAATACATTTTTAAACGAATTCTGTAACAAACATATCAAATGTCCGATCGAATATGCAATTAAATTAAAAAAACAGACCAAAATCTCTTCATTCATGCCATGAACGTTAATTTGAAATGAGAAATGTCGCCCATAATCGGAGACAACTCACACACACGCCGTGTCACCCCTCGGCGATTCAGGTGATAAGATCAATTCGCCCAATCTCCATATTTGTGCCCTATCTGGGCTCTCCAGCTGTATATTTGCCCCCAGGGGAGATAGATTTGAATTTTCAGATTTCCTCTGAATTATATTTTATGTGCTTCGAACCAATAAATTGTTTGGAATTCTCGTGGATACGTTTTATATCCTAATATCCTATGTGATAAGTTACATGACGAACAAGATCGTTATAGTTTGATGATTATGAGTAAGCAAACTTTCTTTTATAAGAATGGGATCGTTATATAGAATTTTTAAAATCAGTTTTCAATTTACAGGGTTTTTAAAGTTTGTTTCTGCACTCGCTCCTCCCCCCTATTTATAAAAGCTATAGGTGCGCCCCACCCCCCAATTTGGCGCTAATGATGAAGGTTCAACCCCCCCATAACAATCCTGCCGCTTGATGCCCCCCCGCTCCTCCTTCCTTTGATTGGTTCGAAAACATGTACATTTTTAGGAAACAATCTAAAAATGTCAACTGCATAAATTGTGTTTATGCATTTTGCACCGATAATTTGATTGAATCAACTTAAAATAAATTTTACCTAACGCGCAAAGGCGAAATGGGCAATTGGGCATTGGGCGCGCGAGCATGGAGAATATGAATTTGAACTGCACTGAACAGCACAATTTTAATCGCATTTGAAACATTTTAATATTACTAGTTGATATTCAAAACATTTGGTTTGGTTTGAATATGAGGCACATATAATTAAGACCAAAGGTTGGCTTATGGGGGGGGGAAGGGGGGCGTCCCCCCCCCCTAAAAAATTGGGGGGCTTTTATGGGCTCACTTCACATGGATTCGATCAAGGAGAAAGGAGAAAGGGAACATTATATGAGACAAAACAGAAGAGAAGAAAAAAGGAAATGAAGGAAACGAAAAAAAGGGGGAAAAAGAGGAATGATATTTTTTTTCTTTTTTTCACAAGTTAATGATTTTTATCAATTATCGATAGAAGTAAAAATTTTGAGACAAATTGAAATTAAAGATAGAAATTCGTTAAACTCTGTACTTCAGCTTGGAACCTGCAGGTGCATAGTTTTATAAAATTTGATTTTTGGACAACTTAATAATTTTTTTTTCCTGTTTTGTCCTTCCTGGGGGGGTTTATAATTCCACAAGAGGGATTCAGTTATCCTTCAATTGGTTTATGATTCCACTGGAGGGATTCAGTAATCCTTCCTGTGGGTTTATAATTCCATTGGAGGGATTCAGATATCGTTCCTGGGGGGTTATCATTCCACTGGAGGGATTCAGTAATCCTTCCTGTGGGTTTATAATTCCATTGGAGTGATTCAGATATCCTTCCTGGGGGTTATAATTCAACTGGAGGGATTCAGTTATCCTTCCTGGGGGTTATAATTCCACTGGAGGGATTCAGATATCCTTCCTGGGGGTTTATAATTCCACTGGAAATTTGAAATTTTACGCAGGGTGATTTACATTCTACTGGAGGGATTCAGTTATCTTTCCTGGGGGTTTATAATTCCACTGGAGGGATTCAGATATCCTTCCAAGGGGTTTACAATTCCACTGGAGGGATTCAGATATCCTTCCTGGGGGTTTATAATTTCACTGGAGGGATTCAGATATCTTTCCTAGGGGTTTATAATTCCACTGGAGGGATTCAGGTATCTTTCCATGGGGTTTATAATTCCACTGGAGGGATTCTGTTATCCTTCCTAGGGGTTTATCATTCCACTGGAGGGATTCAGTTATCCTTCCTGGGGGTTTATAATTCCACTGGAGGGATTCAGATATNGGGTTGAGGGGTAGATCTTTGTTTCGATTTTTTCTGAGAATAAACTCAGAGAGAGCGATTTGGGGGTTGAATGAAGTATTTTCATTGTTGTATTTTTCAATATTTAAGTTTGACTATCAATCAATTTTTTTTATGTCGTAGATCTTTGATATGAATTCTGTTAGACCAAATAATCTAAGTTTGAAATATCAAAGGTTTACATCATCAGATTGGAAAGATATAGGGATTAGACAATTTGAGTTTGTGACAATTCAGAATTTCAGAATTTTGGAAAACTGTTAGCTAGATACTTTTACTTTTTATCCAGTTAACGTAATGTACTAAAGTCTAATGTAAATTAACATTTTATCCTATTCTAACTGCTCGTAATCTTAATCTTAAAAAATAGAACTGGTCTGAGAAAGATACCTTCTTCCATGTTATTTGGACATTAAGAGATATAAAGATAGATATCTTGGCAGTTAGATAGATAGATAAATTGATAGTTATATAGATAGATAGATAGCTTGATAGATTAAAACAATTAACAAGCAGACCGACAGACATAATCACATAGACTCAGTAATTCGATAAAAGAAATATATTAAGATATATAACAATATATTTGTACATACATTTATCAACTTATCCATCCAAATATCTACCTTGATATCCTATATACATCTATCCAAATATCTCTACTTGGATATCCTATATCCATCTATCCAAATATCTCTACTTGGATATCCTATATCCATCTATCCAAATATCTCTGCCTGGATATCCTATATACATCTATCCAAATATCTACCTTGATATCCTATATACATCTATCCAAATATCTCTACCTTGATATCCTATATCCATCTATCCAAATATCTACCTTGATATCCTATATCCATCTATCCAAATATCTCTACTTGGATATCCTATATCCATCTATCCAAATATCTACCTTGATATCCTATATCCATCTATCCAAATATCTCTACCTGAATATCCTATATCCATCTATCCAAATATCTCTACCTTGATATCCTATATCCATCTATCCAAATATCTCTACTTGGATATCCTATATACATCTATCCAAATATCTCTGCCTGGATATCCTATATACATCTATCCAAATAATTCTACCTGGATATCCTATATCCATAAATTAAATAGAATCTATGTCACATAGTCACAAAAAGGTTTAGACTTCAAAGACGACTGTACGGATTTTTTTGTTAATTACATTCATGGTTTCGTCGAGCTCTACATTGTTTTTATAGATTTGCCAAAACCGTTAAAGATCGGTAAATTTAAAGATTAATAAGGTTCTCATCAAAGTCTCATTCTGTGTGGGTAACCCTGTATCTTGACTTGTTCGTCTCCCCCTCCTCTACTTGTGCCCCGTAATCACCCCCAATACAGCAATTCCGCAATTTACTACTCTTATACCTCCTCCAATCTCCTATTCCCCCCCCCCAATAATTCCCCCTATTTACCTAGTTAGTAAATTAGTTCTGTTCAAAATCTAATGGTAGAACCAGCACTGCACATTCGTCTTCAATTAAAGGGATTGTTCGTGTTTTTCTAATTGTTATCTCGACAAATAATGATATAGTTAAAGGGACTCTAAGCGTAATTATCAGTGACCCTCCTTGCAAAGATGGAAATACCCGTTTCACAACAGTAGAAATGCGCTTAAGTTACTTTTGTAGAGAAACCACAATTGTACATCATCAATTATCAAAATTAAAACATGTATATCCAGTTCAGACAAAGCTATTACGGGCACACCCTTCTGAATCGGGCATTGCCATCTTTACTCACTTAAATTTCGCTCACAGTCCCTTTAAGACATCCTAATAAAGATTTGGCTGTGATTTTAGACTCCCTTTATTTTGGTAAAATGATAAATGAGCGTATTCCTGAGTTGATAGTTGAGGTTGGTTTTTGTATTGGTCAAATGTTGAAATTAGGTCGGAGCCACAGACTAGAAATATACAGAATGCCAATAAGCTTTCACAGGCTGGCCTAAATAGGCCTACGGTCGTACCGGCAAGGCATGCTACAGCATTATTTGTTTTTACAACATTAAATCAAATTTGTGCTTCTATTTTGTATGACACCCCTGAACTTGAAAAAAGGAAAATATAGTTTCCTGCATTGTGTTGTGCCGAGTAAGAAATATATATATATTGATGAAAGAAAGGATTTTTAACCGATTATCAGGGTTTATCCTTGATGGATAGATCGATAAAATAAAACTTTCCACATCAAAAATATTATTTCTAAAGCATTGTTCGGTAGGATAATATATTTTAGCCGGGAAATAATATTTTGAATAATTTTAATGGAACTTTATTTTCCTCGTGACGAAATTGTTCCTGGTTTTTGCAATATCATCCCCCTTCAATGTTATTTTTAATGAACTTTAGTTTACTGGCTGAGTAAAAAATGGAAAGAATCTTAATTTAACAATATAACAATGAAAATATCCGAATTTTTTTAAAGGTCTTAAAACAGCACTTTTAAAATAAAAATCTTCTTAAAGATTTGATTTTTAATATAATTTAGTTAAAAGTTTTTTAGATAATATTTGTTTATTGTTCAGGTAGTGGTTTGGAGAAGATTAGTCCTTATGCTCATGAGGGAACAACCCTGCTCAGTAATTCAGCTCTGAAATCAGATTCAGTGCGTCGGTCCGATCTCAGAACCAGGCTAGATAATGACCTTAGAGCAAGGTAGGCGTATTTTATAACATTTTTTTACAATCTTCTATTACTTCCTTCAACAAATAAAACAAACTATTAGAATTATTTTTCGTTGATTTTTAAATTATTCTAAAATATTTGCAACAATATTTTCTGGCCTTAATGTTCCAAGAATAATTATGACAGTTAAACTTTAAGAAAAGCAAGATTGCGTGCTTACCTCTTTTCCACATTATTATTGTAAATTCAAGTTTTTTTCTGTAAAAAATTTAGGAATCGTTGGTTCACAAATCATTCTACAGTTTTAAACTGTTTCCAAAGTTCTGAATGGAAATTAACGAAAACCTAATTAAATTCTACCATTCAATGGAATTTTCTTTTCAAGCAAAATGCAACCTCATCTTTTTCTATTAAATGTTTTTTTCTCCAGGTTTTATGTGAAAAGTATTTGCATCTGTGCAGAAAAAAGTTTAAAGGGACAACATTAAAGGGACTGTAGACGTAATTTTATGTACCCCTCCGTTTATTTCCGATTCACAATGTTTCTTTTTAAATCTTCACTTGTCGGAACAAAAAGATATTCTTGTTTTTTATATCTAAAAATATAAGTTTTCAGTTGTGGTTTCTTGAATTAGGGGATTTTTTGGTTTTATGCAGCAAAGAGAAGGAATTAAATTTACATAATCAAGCACGGTTTACGATCCTCATTGCTTCTTAGACAAAGGTGTTAAGGGTTCTCTTGTAAATCGGGCATTAACTCTTTAATTGGGGATTACGTAGACCCGTCCCTTTAAGAAGTGTTCAAAAACATTCAATTAACACTAAAAAATCCATATAAGAAGAAATTTAAATCCTAAGTCTTTGCTACAAACTCAGATTTTCTAATCCCTATATCTTTGCAACCCAATGCCGTAGTCCTTAGATATTTCAAACTATGAATTCTGGTAGATTAAATAATCTAAGTTTGAAATATCAAATATTTGCACCATCAGGTTGCTCAGATATAGGGATTCGAAAATTTGAAATTTGTGACAAAAATTTAATTCCTTCAATTCATATAATTCAAAAAAAAATATGATTACATATTAAAGTAAATAGTTAAGAATGCATCTAGACCTATATGATGATCCGTGCTGTTCGATTCAAATAAAAAAAAACTAGGTTTTATCGATTTGTTTTTTGTTTTTAGACTGGAAACAGATCCGAGAAGCAGGGTTTCCACAGAACGGAGACAGCTTAATAATGGAGGGTTAAATTATGCGACAAAGGTACAAAGTATTTTTTTGTAAAAATAATTTTCTGAAAAGTTTGCTGATAAACGTTTTATGATGGGTTCTGGATTTTAATAGCTCTATGAAAATCCTCGTAAATTTTAACAATTGGAAATGCACGGAAATCGAACGTTTGTTTGGCAATGCATGCCGAAATTGCGAAAATTTTGCATTGTTTATGGGTATATGAGTTTGTGAAAGAATTTGCATTATGCAATTTCAAGCATATATTGTCAAATCCAATCTTGTTTTTAAAAACTTCATTATCTTTAACTTTTCATACTTCATCTTTCTCATCTTTTGCAAAGCAATTATTAGAAATATTTAAATTTGAATTTTAGTTTAATAATTTGCAATACAGAGTTTAAATTTACATTTTCATTTCAAAATAATATTAAAGTAAATCAGTAATTAACACATATTTTTCCTTTGAATAACTGTAAAAACAAAAAATATGTATTCCCCGAAAGTATTCCCCCCCTCCCCCCCTCCCTGGCTTTGGAGGCTGAATAGAAGTGCATAAAAAGTTTTAATGTTTTGTTAGTTCAGTTAATGCTCTCATTGTGCTTTTATTCAGCAAACTTTTAATCATTTTTAAAGCCAACTATCTATCTTTTTTATATCTATCTATCTATCTAACTATCTTATCCTTTATCTACCTTTTATCCATCTATCTATCTATTACATTCTTTATCTGTCTATTATATTCTTCATCTATCTTTTATCTATCTATTATTTATCTATCTATCTATCTATCTATCTATCTTATCCTTTATCTACCTTTTATCCATCTATCTATCTATTACATTCTTTATCTGTCTATTATATTCTTCATCTATCTTTTATCTATCTATTGTCTATCTATTTATCTATATATTGTCTATCTATTTATCTATTCTTTCCTCTATCTATCTATCTATCTATCTATCTATCTATCTATCTATCTATCTATCTATCTATCTATCTATCTATCTATCTATCTATATATATATCTATCTATCTATCTATCTGTCTATCTATCTATCTATGTTTATTTAGCTCCCTAATACGTATCTCTTTATACCAATGTATTGTATGACAAACAATACCTGTATAACGAGTGTACAATGAAAAGACACAAATTGTCCAGTTCTGTCTTTCATCAAATTGCCTAATTATGAATATTTCAGTTGCTAATAATGTTTTTCAACAAGTGGGGAGGAGGTGGGGGGAGGGGGGGTAGGCTTGTTTATATTGAACAAATTTCAAACTGGATATTGATTTATAATGTATGAAATTTATCGCTAGTTTTTAATACTGAGAATTTATGAAATTTTTATCAGTACAAGGTTTTATTTATCCATTCAAGAAGTTATTTAATGATCTTTTTATTTTATTTCTACTTTGGCTTTTGATTCTATTGTTCGTGATTTTCGAGGTTGCACACTTTTTAATAGAAGGGTCATGGATTCTACCAGGGGGGATGATAGTTCTCTACCTGTGTGCTCAGTTAGCTGTACTGAGCTGAAAACTTTAGAATGGGATATCCTTAATTCCGATCTGTTAATAAATCTTAAGATTAATAACAACTGGAGAACAAGCATTATTTAATCTGGAGATTAAGAAAAAAAGGAGATCAAGCATTAATCTCAATATCCACCATTCTAAAGTTGTCAGCTCTATACACTTACAACTGTTTACTAACATTGATATACTATAGGTTAGGCCAGAATCTCTTTATAATGAACAAATATGCCGTATGCTCTCGGTATAGTTTATGGCCTATATACAATTATTAAAGGATTAGCGTACATCATCACTCTATATACTATAACCTCGTTGGATTCTACTCATGAATTACTCTCTATGAGCATTCACACCGGACTAACCAGAGTGAGCAGCATTCGGTTTCTTCTATTTGAAATCAAACGTGTTTTGGTCTTTAATTAAATAATCATTTACTTTACGGATTTGTTTATTTTATACATTTTTATTCAAATGCATGTGCCAACAAAAAAGTATTTAAGAAAAAAGGCTAAAAAATTATGTTTAGGGGATCAAATTGTGATCGAAAGTCACAGCTTTCTGGAATATTGACAGAACCGTTAAATCCACGTGCATTGCTTATTCTTTTATTCCGAAATTTTTTTTTATGGTAAAGGTTGTCACTGGTGTTTCATTGATGTATGAAATAAATTCTTCTTGTCCTAGTTTGGATAGATTGAACAATAGTTTATTGTCTGTATATGTGCCTGTTTTGTTTGTTTTCTTCCTATGTATGCCTGCGCGTGTCTATCCATATAAGATCAGAAAAATCATCGAGGCATATTTAAATTTAAATCTCAATCTATCTCTATCTCTTGTGTATTGTCCATATATCAATCTATTTGACTCAAAAAATGTTATTTCTCGTTTCATCTCTGCATGATTTTATTGGGACGGGGGGGGGGGGCTAGACTATTATTTCTTACTCTTTTGACCCTCTACGTTGCGAATTAGATAATTTTGTTTAATTTTTTGAAATCTTCGAAATCTGCTTTTCTAATTTTTTCTGTTTAGGAGCGCAGCTACCAAGATTCCGGATTTTCGGAGGATATAGATATGCAGGTATTTTAGTAGTTCTTTTTAATTTGACATTTTGCAAATTTTCAAATTCCATCTTACTGAGGAGCAATCGATAAGAAAAAAGCAACCAAACTTGGGTGTAAAATAAAAACTAATGGAGTCACGAGGTCCCAAAGTCGAATTAGTAATTCCACATTAATTCCTTTTTTAAAGATTGAATTGACATTTTTGGATCACAATGTAGTTGAAACCATAGATTTTCTGATAATTCTAAAGAATTTCAGATTTAGATTTTTGTTTGATTTCTTAGTTTTTAAAGAATTTTCATGAAGTGTAATTAATATTACAGAAAAAATTTAATACTTGTTTCAAAATAAACAACAAAAATATTGTTTAGATGAATCCTGTTAGCTACCTAGGGACTACTAAATCTGGTCAAATATACATAGAACCAAATGGTAAATATAAATCAATTAATAAAATATTGAATAATATTATCATCTTGGCCTCTTCTTTTTAATAAGTTAATTTGGTGTGTGTGGGGGGATGGGGTCGTGAACATTTTCAATAAATAAAAAGTTAGATAATAGTTCAGTTCAGTGATTTATTAAGTATTTTTACTTAATTCAGTTTTTAATGATATAAATGGATGATTTAAGTATGCAAGATTGTGAGCGACAGATTAATTGATTGCAATTTATCTGCATTTTAAAAATCTTGTTTAAAAAATATGTTTCAAATTATGTGTTGACAAGTAGATAACAAATTGAGTCATCATCGACATTCGACACATTTATGAATGATGAAAAAAATGTTAAATATTTAACTAAGGAACTTTTTTACTTGCTGTGCACCTTTATTAATATAAAATGGACGTAATTGAAATCTTTTATGTTCACAATCAGAACTTTTCTCATTGAAGTGCTAATCACGGGCAGCCGTAGTACATTTGAATTTCCAAGCCGGGTCAACCTTTCTGGTCCCAGTTTGAACTGTATCGCCGGGACATTGGGTAAATAAAGCACTCAATAGGACTAGCCGGTGTAACAAGGTTGACGCGGTCGGACTTCAGGCTGAATTTACTATTACTAAAGGGTCAGAGGTGCGTGTAATCAGAAGAACAAAATGTTTTAAAATTTCTAATTTCTAATTGAATAATTTAACTTTTCTCGTATTTAAGCTTAACATCAAAACTAGAGATGCTTTGAGGTCTAAAGTCGCCCCCATAGATTTGTCCTTACCCTGTTCAGTTTGCAGTGTTCACTGTTAAGTTTGCAGTGTTCACTGTTCAGTTTGCAGTGTTCACTGTTAAGTTTGCATTGTTCACTGTTCAGTTTGCAGTGTTCACTGTTCAGTCTATAATTTCTAATCCTGATATCTTTGCAATTTGACGTCGTACCCTTTAATATTTCAAACCAAAAATATATTAAAACGGCCAAATTTCGATTAATGAAANCTGTTCAGTTTGCAGTGTTCACTGTTCAGTTTGCAGTGTTCACTGTTCAGTCTATAATTTCTAATCCTGATATCTTTGCAATTTGACGTCGTACCCTTTAATATTTCAAACCAAAAATATATTAAAACGGCCAAATTTCGATTAATGAAAGGTTTTTGCCATTAAATAAACTAGGGTTTCCAACGCAATGTAGCGAAAATTTGCTTGCCTCTTCCGCAAACTTTTGAAAATGCCAATTTTTTTTTGGTTTTCTATGAATTAGTTGATTGTTTTCCAATTATTAAAGAATGAATTAATTCATTTCTAATTGATTAATATACTTGAATGATCAACTCCTTGGATCGATTGTGTTACTTGATTAATTGATTATTATTCTAGAATAGTGTTTGAGAATTTCTAAATCTGTTTGCTCAGATTAAACCTTACATTCTTTATACAGATCCGTGGGTAAACAGAGTAGATAGATAGATAGATAAAAAGAAAGAAAGAAAGAACGAAAGATAGATATTTATATAGATATATAGATAGATAGATAGATAGATAGATAGATAGATAGATAGATAGATAGATAGATAGATAGATAGATAGATAGATAGATAGATAGATAGATAGATAGATAGATAGATAGATAGATAGATAGATAGATAGATAGATAGATAGATAGATAGATAGATAGATAGATAGATAGATAGATAGATAGATAGATAGATAGATAGATAGATAGATAGATAGATAGATAGATAGATAGATAGATAGATAGATAGATAGATAGATAGATAGATAGATAGATAGATAGATAGATAGATNTAATGAATGTTTTGATCACCCCCCACATGCCTTTTCCCCACCCTCTTTCCGTACTTACAAAACATAAATACAAAAGTTTTCCTCTGAAGTAATAGTAAAGTTCTCGATGTGAATAATGGAAATGTAAAGTTATCAGAATCTGAAAAATTCAAATTATTTCTCAAAATTAATGAAAATGTTTCAATACTTGGAAGAAATTATAATAATTGCTTCCAATTTCTCCATCTACATATGAGAGAGAAAGAGAGAGGGAGATGAGTGAGAGAGACCCTGAGAACATTAGCATGAAAATGTATCTTTGCACTTCACTGCCATACTTAAATTTTATGCATTGTGTAATGATAATTATTTGCTTTTCATAAAAAGTGTTGATGATGGGAACTCAGCCCTAGGCCGCCAATTAACCTTCCCCACCCTGGGCACCATTAAAAACCGTTCAACCTTTCACCCCGACCCTATCCCCCCCTCCCCTCCCGTCAATCTGGACCACATCCATATCTTCTTTTTTCATCTAATATTAGTCTATTTCGTGCGCTCTTTCCAGGGTTAGATTTGCCTTTTAAAGAACGTGACACAGCGCGCGTGAACTTGGTGCGCTTGCATAAATCAAATCTCATGCTTATTTGTTGAGCGCGTCGAAACTATTTTAATTAGAAGAAGAATTAGAATCAAGAAGAACTGCTGTGCTCTCGTTTCCCCGGGTCATGGTTGCTCATGTACAAGATCTCATCTTCTTTATTTCTTACTTTTGCATCCATGAATTTCCTGTGCACATGAATTATAATATTGCGCGTGATTTTTGATACGCGCGTCTGTTTTGATCTTCGGAAGTCATTCTTTTGTAGGTTTTATTAGGCTTGTGAAAAGATGTGCTCGCGTGCACGAATGCATCGTGGAAGTGTGTGCGTGCGCTCCAGCTCACAGTTCCAGCAAAGATATATTTAATTAAGACATGCATTATATCAGGACAATGTTTTAAAGATTGGTTAAATAGCAAGCGAACAGTTTTTTGGTGAGCTAATGTAGGACAATATTGATGTAAAATCGTGCAATTAAAAAACAGCAATCAATAAAAAGCATTAAAAAAAATATAGTCAGAAAATTAACTTTTGACGAATATCAGATATTTTTTTTCTCTAAAAGATATTTTTACATATTTGCATTCTTACATATTTTTGTTACCACACTGCACCCGCTGTTGATTGTTAATTAAATATTTTAACACTTTGTAGTCTGTATACAGAAGAGATTAAAATTATCTCGTGCGGACACATTATTTAAAGTAATAGACAAGTTGAAAGATAAATAAGTCGACAGATACAGAGAATTTAAGTGAATAGATAGATAGATAGTTGGATAGATGTATGGGGGGTTGAAATGAATTTATGAATAGATAGATGATAGTTGATGGATTTTTAATTCCCCTCCTAGCCCCAGTTGTCTTGACCCTGCTCTGCGCGTTCAACCAGCTTTTTGCATTAAATGCGCGCTCCCCATTCTCTTGACGTGCGTGCGTATGTTTTGTTTTTGTGGCTAAGCGCCAATCTAAATTTTGTGGATGCATCGGGGTTGATTGGATTGGATGTTTTGTCACATTCTCATCATATAATCAAAAACTAGAACAGGGATGAATCATTCCCGTCTATTCAAGCGAAACTAAATAGATCTAAGTTTGGTTTTCGGAATAAAATCAGTCAGAATAGTATCTATCCTTCAATCTATCAAAAAAAAAAAAAGTTTAACAATTCTTACATCCATTATCATTTTAACATACGAAAAATCTATATTTAATGGGGTGAGGGGTAAATAGGTTAGAAAACGAAGGCTACCTGACTGAAACCAGTCCGTATCCCCAATTTCAACCTAATACTCAGCTTTTATACTTTGTATTCTATGTTCATGTTCTTCATTTTTCACAATTTTTAGTTCTCCCCTTCTCTCTTCTCTTGATAACATTTCGAGATCTATAAACATTTTACTTTTATTTCTCCCCAAGGGGTAGGATACAGAACTTTATAAACCCTTGATAAACTTATATAAAAAGAGGGTGGACTGGACATTGAACAATTCTGACTACTGTATTCATGCTTAAAAATCCGGACCAAACTGCGGGTAAATTGTGACCAAATTATGCAGGATATTTTATGATAAACAAATCGACGCTAACAATTTAGAAAAAATACATATGGATTATTTGATATTAAATAAAACCTTCTTAAAAGATTTACATAATTAGACGCTCATAACATACAAATACATTAAAGTTAGAAGAAGAGATTGCTATCCTTAAAAATGATAATCTAAATAATAATGATGATAATGTTAATAGTAATGATAATAATAATAATAATGATAATAATAATAATAATGCTAATAATAATAATGATACTAATAATAATATCAATAATTACAATAATAATGATAATATATGAAATAGAGAATTATTTTTAAATTTTTGTTTTCAGATGAGACAAAGCTAACATTGTCCCACTACTCTCAACCTTTAGTCAGCAATTCAGAGTTATCTACCAAGGACAGGTAATTAATTTATGGATTAATTAATGGATTAATTTATGGATTAATTTATGGATTAATTAATGGATTAATTAATGAATTAATTAATGGATTAATCAATTAAATAAACAGAAATCAGAAGGTTATTTTAAGGACAACACAAGAAACAATAAGTTGACAATTTAAACCGGTTAAAAAAATTTATTTTAAGGTGAAACTCATAACTAATATTTTATGAATATAGTTCGAAAATTAATTCTAAATTGAAATAAAAATGACAAGAAAACTATGATAATTGCACATTAAATTGATTCAATAATAATTAATTGATAAAATATCATAACTCAGGTTTAATGCTAATTATAATCATGATATATTGAATATTGATGACGATTCAAATTTCAGAAAAAAAAAAAATATTCTAAAATCAAAACTTTCTTTTTCTTATGGTAATTTTTCATTCCTTACAAAACTTCAAAAAATTCCCCATTTTACAAAGATATATCTGACGAACTATCATCCAGGCGTATTATTTTCAAAACATTTACCCATCATGAAAATTCTTCTAAACTTTTTTATCCAATTAAAAAGATCCAATATAAATACTTTTTTCTCTTAAGGAAAAGCATGAAGGGGAATATTTAACCCGGTATTACCCCTCACAAATTTTCAGAAATATTCTAATTCTAGATTTGTAAATAAACAATACTATAGTTTACTGAACCCAACTTCAACATTGGAATATTTAGTTGTTTTTCTTCTGTTTTCATAATACAGCTTGCTGATAGACATATCATTAGGAGACATGCTGCTGTCTTGCTTTTCTTTATCTAACTGTTTTATCTACTGTCTTTATATTCTTTATCTAACTGTTTTATCTACTGTCTTTATATTCTTTATCAAACTGTTTTATCTACTAGCTTTATATTCTTTATCTAACTGTTTTATCTACTGTCCTTGTATTCTTTATCTAACTGTTTTATCAACCGTCTTTATATTCTTTATCTATCTGTTTTATCTACTGTTCTTGTTTTCTTTATCTAACTGTTTTATCTACTGTCTTTATATTCTTTATCTAACTGTTTTATCTACTATCTTTATATTCTTTATCTAACTGTTTTATCTACTGTCCTTGTATTCTTATCTAACTGTTTTATCTACCGTCTTTATATTCTTTATCTAACTGTTTAATTTACTGTCTTTATATTCTTTATCTAACTGTTTTATCTACTGTCCTTGTATTCTTTATCTAACTGTTTTATCTACTATCCTTGTATTCTTCATCTAACTGTTTTATCAACCGTCTTTATATTCTTTATATAACTGTTTTATTATTGTCTTTGTATTCTTTATCTAACTGTTTTATCTACTGTCCTTGTTTTCTTTATCTAACTGTTTTATCTACTGTCTTTTTATTCTTTATCTAACTGTTTTATCTACTGTCTTTTTATTCTTTATCTAACTGATTTATCTACTCTCCTTGTTTTCTTTATCTAACTGTTCTATCAATTATCTTCTACGAATTTAGGCCTTTGAAAATGTTAATTTTTTAATCTTGCAAATTGAAAACCTTTTCATAATTTATATAACCGTCTTTCACAGGTTTCTCTTCGATTTTATATCTGATTAGGCATCCTTTGAACTTTGAAGCAGGTTTTCCAAATCTTTTGTCAGTCAGCTTGTACTGACCTATTTATGTTTAAAAGTTTTTTTTCCATTTATTTTTTGTATTTTAGTGTTTGCTACATTTTCTAAGCCCCCTCTAAACGTCTAACTGTTTATTTATCTCACTTTTTGCCTTCAGTTATATGAGGCCTGACGGATAGGCAGGATTGTGTGATCCACATAACTTTTTATGTTTTTAATCAAGGTTTAATTAACCTTTTTTCTGTCCTAATTATATCAATTTTGTTCAACATGTCAACTTTTCATGTTCCTGACCGGATTGATTTATTCAAAATTATCAATTTTTTATTCATCTGTTTATCAGCCGTTCAGTGTAGCAATCATTTTATTCTTAATTAATATTTATTTCATATTTTAGAATAAAAAAACAAACTTTTTTGATTTCAGGGGGAACCCTTTACGTGGAAGCATGAAGAGCCCCCCGTCCTCACCTCGTCCCTCCTCCCTGAAGGGGTCAAGGACCCCCTCCTTGAAGGGATCTAAATGCTCCTGGAGGTCCCTTGCCGTCATCTTCATCGTCCTCTCCCTTACTATGGGGGCCACACTCGTCTTCCTTATAGGTAAACATTAGTGGCCTGTCGTCCTTGTTATTGGTTAACATAAGGGCCTTTTTTGTGTTCTTTGAAGTAGTTCTTTAAAGTTATTTTCACAATTTGACATTGTGATCTCATTTGTCCTTCTTAAAAGTAAATATTAATTTTAAAAATCTTCCTTTTTAATGTTGAATATTTGTGGCCACAATCGTCCTCCATAGAAGTGAAAATTTAATGATGATGTCGTCATTTTTAGTGGTTAGTTTTTGGGGCTACACTAGTCCTGCTTTAAAGTAAATAGTTAATGCTATAGTCGTCCTTATGGTTAAGTGCAGTGTGCACGGTTACTATGTTAGTGTGCGTGAGTTGGGTGATTAAGACAAATTTAGATATAACTTAATTAAGATAAGATGACAGACAAATAGTCAGACAATAAATACCATCAGATAGATAGATAGACGGATTGATGGACAGCTAGACACCTAAAGAGGAAATGAATGATTTAAATGGATTTAAAAATGACAGTTTTCTACAAATAATAGTGTAATGCAGGGTACTCATACACGGGGTTTTGAGGTTTAATTTTCCCGTTCAAGCACATTTCTGATTTGAGGCGGTAGCCCTTCATACATAACATTTTCATTCATTTATTCATTTTTTGTTAATTTTATTTATTAGATTTTTTCAACCACTAATGTCGTTTTTTTCTCCATTTGATTTGAAAATTTAATTAATCGGTTTATTAGATTTATTAGATTAATTGTTTTAAAAATATTTATATGCTTATTCATCAAAACACAACACTGTTGTCAATAATAACTTAAATTAATTAGCACTTTTTAGCATTCATTCATTTATTATTCAATTAATTACTTAATTAATTTATTCTTCTATTCATCCATTTATTGATTAATTAACTTATTTATTATATTTTATCCATTTTATCTTTCATAGTTTAATTTGTTTATAACATACCTATATGTGGCCCTGTATACTGTATACTATATACCTATTTAAATGGCCCTGTATACTATATACAAGATACTTATACATATGGCCCTGATTTCTATATACAAGATACCTATATATACATATGACCCTGTATACTGTATACAAGATACCTATTTAAATGGCCCTGTATACTATATACAAGATACCTATACATATGACCCTGTTACCCTGTATACTATATACAAGATACCTATATAAATATATGACCCTGTATACTGTATACTAGATACCTATTACCTATATATATGGCCCTGTATACTTATATACACAATACCTATACATATGGCCCTGTTACCCTGTATACTATATACAAGATACCTATATATATATGACCCTGTATACAAGATACCTATATATATGGCCCTGTATACTTATATACACGATACCTATACATATGGCCCTGTATACTGTATACTAGATACCTATATATGGCCCTGTATACTGTATACAAGATACCTTTATATATATATGACCCTGTATACTGTATACACGATACCTATACATATGGCCCTGTATACTTTATACTAGATACCTATATATATCGCCCTGTATACTGTATACAAGATACCTATATATATATGGCCCTGTATACTGTATACAAGATACCTATATATATATATGGCCCTGTATAGTGTATACTAGATACCTATATATATCGCCCTGTATAGTGTATACAAGAAACCTATATATATATATGGCCCTGTATACTGTATACAAGATACCTATATATATTGCCCTGTAAAGTGTATATTAGATACCTATATATATATATGGCCCTGTATACTGTATACAAGATACCTATAATTTATCCTAGGTTTTCAACACGTCATGTCAGTTTTTAGTCTGACATGTGTTCAAAACCTTTCATAGACGATGACACAGAAATCAGACACGTCCACCTATCCGCCTACCACTGTTTATCCATTCATCTATCTATCTATCTATCTATCTATCTATCTATCTATCTATCTATCAATCTATCTATCTATCTATCGATCTATCTATCTATATCTATCTATATCTATCTATATCTATCTATCTATCTATCTATCTATATATCTATCTATCTATCTATCTATCTATCTATCTTCCTATATTTTTAATTAATCAATCAAATTACCCCTCTCTGCTAAGCTAAAATTAAAATCTCAGACTAAATGCGTGCTTTTAAGTAACATAAAAAGTTTACACATGGTTAATAAACAAAAAGAATTTGTAGAAAAAAAAGATGTGTGAATGAATTAGGTGATGATTCCAGTTTTTCTGTCTGTTCAGGGAACATTAGTTAAACGTCTGTATTTTCTCGTTCTATCTGTAGTATGGCACCCTCCACTAAGCATTCGGTCTGCCTCGTACTGTACACAACTTCTGAGATTTATTCTGTACCGTCATGACAATTGAAACAAAAACTTTGTACCGGCACGACTTTCATTACTAAACTTAGGTACAGGTGACAACAACGTCGTTCTCAGCATACAATTAGTC